ATGGAAATTTTGATGCAGGTGTCTTCGTTTAGCTAATGGTATTAATCTAGACTCATTATAAAGGATAGCATGACTGGTGCCCCGTCTCAGGCCAGTAATAATGTGTATTTCCTCTAATTGAACTGATTCTAAGATGTTGCATTCCCTTTCTGTGCAGTTAGACCAAACAATATCAGCATATTCTAAAATAGGACGAATAAATGTAATATATATTTATTCAAGTGACTTTCTGTCAATTTTGTACTTTAACATTCTAAGAATATTTATTCGCTTATAAGCTTTCTCATAAATAAAGCTTATGTGGTTGGACCAATTAGCATGACTGTTAAAAATTAGACCTAAGTGCTTATGACAGGTAACATTTTTAATAACTGAGTCATTAAAATACAGGTTTATATGCAACATTTCAGAATCTATTCGCCTAGAATAAAGTAGGGATTCAGTCTTATTCGGATAAAAATAATGTCTATAAATCATTCTATAGAACGATCCTGATACTCGTAGGGACTTTTATTAGTTTAAATACAATTATTTGGCATACCATTAGAAAATATCCGGAAATGATAACGAATAACACATTAAACATATATTTAGTTATGGATAGAGGGCCATTATCTATCTCACTGTATCCTTTTGCGTAGAAATAACTTAACATGATTTGGCAGTAAGTTAATGGAAAGTAAGATGATGAAATAAAATGCTAGGTGATAAGAGGAAAGAAAAAAACCACTCTAGCTATGACGAGGATGGAAACAACAGACTACCTGTTACAATGATGGAAACAAAAGACTAGCCAATAAGAGGATGGAAACAAAAGACTAGCCAGTAAGAGGATGGAAACAAAAGACTAGCCAGTAAGAGGATGGAAACAAAAGACTGGCTAGTAAGAGGATGGAAACAAAAGACTGGCTAGTAAGAGGATGGAAACAATAGACTAGCCAGTAAGAGGATGGAAACAAAAGACTGGCTAGTAAGAGGATGGAAACAAAAGACTGGCTAGTAAGAGGATGGAAACAATAGACTGGCTAGTAAGAGGATGGAAACAAAAGACTAGCCAGTAAGAGGATGGAAACAAAAGACTAGCCAGTAAGAGGATAGGAACAAAAGACTTGCTAGTAAGAGGATGGAAACAAAAGACTGGCTAGTAAGAGGATGGAAACAAAAGACTGGCCAGTAAGAGGATGGAAACAAAAGACTTGCTAGTAAGAGGATGGAAACAAAAGACTTGGTAGTAAGAGGATGGGAACAAATGACTGGCTAGTAAGAGGATGGAAACAAAAGACTGGCTAGTAAGAGGATGGAAACAAAAGACTAGCCAGTAAGAGGATGGAACCAAAAAACTTGCTAGTAAGAGGTTGGAAACAAAAGACTGGCTAGTAAGAGGATGGAAACAAAAGACTAGCCAGTAAGAGGATGGAAACAAAAGACTGGCTAGTGAGAGGATGGAAACAAAAGACTTGCTAGTACGATGATGGAAACAAAAGACTGGCTAGTAAGAGGGTGGAAACAAAAGACTTGCTAGTAAGAGGATGGAAACAAAAGACTAGCCAGTAAGAGGATAGGAACAAAAGACTTGCTAGTAAGAGGATGGAAACAAAAGACTTGCTAGTACGAGGATGGAAACAAAAGACTAGCCAGTAAGTGGATGGAAACAAAAGACTTGCTAGTAAGAGGATGGAAACAAAAGACTTGGTAGTAAGAGGATGGGAACAAATGACTGGCTAGTAAGAGGATGGAAACAAAAGACTGGCTAGTAAGAGGATGGAAACAAAAGACTAGCCAGTAAGAGGATGGAACCAAAAAACTTGCTAGTAAGAGGTTGGAAACAAAAGACTGGCTAGTAAGAGGATGGAAACAAAAGACTAGCCAGTAAGAGGATGGAAACAAAAGACTGGCTAGTAAGAGGATGGAAACAAAAGACTTGCTAGTACGATGATGGAAACAAAAGACTGGCTAGTAAGAGGGTGGAAACAAAAGACTTGCTAGTAAGAGGATGGAAACAAAAGACTAGTTAGTACGATGATGGAAACAAAAGACTAGCCAGTAAGAGGATGGAAACAACAGACTTGCTAGTAAGAGGGTGGAAACAAAAGACTAGCCAGTAAGAGGATGGAAACAAAAGACTTGCTAGTAAGAGGATGGAAACAAAAGACTAGCCAGTAAGAGGATGGAAACAAAAGACTTGCTAGTACGAGGATGGAAACAAAAGACTAGCCAGTAAGAGGATGGAAACAAAAGACTTGCTAGTACGAGGATGGAAACAAACGACTAGCTAGTAAGAGGATGGAAACAAACGACTAGTTAGTACTGGCTAGAGGATGGAAACAAAAGACTTGCTAGTAAGATGATGGAAACAAAAGACTTGCTATGATGGAAACAAAAGACTAGCCAGTAAGAGGATGGAAACAACAGACTTGCTAGTAAGAGGGTGGAAACAAAAGACTAGCCAGTAAGAGGATGGAAACAAACGACTAGTTAGTACGATGATGGAAACAACAGACTTGCTAGTAAGAGGATGGAACCAACAGACTTGCTAGTAAGAGGGTGGAAACAAAAGACTGGCCAGTAAGAGGATGGAAACAAAAGACTTGCTAGTAAGAGGATGGAAACAAAAGACTTGCTAGTACGAGGATGGAAACAAACGACTAGCTAGTACGAGGATGGAAACAAAAGACTTGCTAGTAAGAGGATGGAAACAAAAGACTTGCTAGTACGAGGATGGAAACAAACGACTAGTTAGTACGAGGATGGAAACAAAAGACTTGCTAGTAAGAGGATGGAAACAAAAGACTGGCTAGTACGAGGATGGAAACAAACGACTAGTTAGTACAAGGATGGAAACAAAAGACTTGCTGGTAAGAGGATGGGAACAAACGACTAGTTAGTACGAGGATGGAAACAAAAGACTTGCTAGTAAGAGGATGGAAACAAAAGACTGGCTAGTACGAGGATGGAAACAAACGACTAGTTAGTACGAGGATGGAAACAAAAGACTTGCTAGTAAGAGGATGGAAACAAAAGACTAGTTAGTACGAGGATGGAAACAAACGACTTGCTAGTAAGAGGATGGAAACAAAAGACTAGCTAGTAAGAGGATGGAAACAAAAGACTGGCTAGTAAGAGGATGGAAACAAAAGACTAGCTAGTAAGAGGATGGAAACAAAAGACTAGCTAGTAAGAGGATGGAAACAAAAGACTAGCTAGTACGAGGATGGAAACAAAAGACTAGCTAGTAAGAGGATGGAAACAAACGACTAGCTAGTAAGAGGATGGAAACAAAAGACTAGCCAGTAAGAGGATGGAAACAAACGACTAGTTAGTAAGAGGATGGAAACAAAAGACTAGCCAGTAAGAGGATGGAAACAAACGACTAGTTAGTAAGAGGATGGAAACAAAAGACTAGCCAGTAAGAGGATGGAAACAAAAGACTAGCTAGTAAGAGGATGGAAACAAAAGACTAGCTAGTAAGAGGATGGAAACAAAAGACTAGCCAGTAAGAGGATGGAAACAAACGACTAGTTAGTAAGAGGATGGAAACAAAAGACTAGCCAGTAAGAGGATGGAAACAAAAGACTAGCCAGTAAGAGGATGGAAACAAAAGACTAGCCAGTAAGAGGATGGAAACAAACGACTAGCTAGTACGAGGATGGAAACAAACGACTAGCCAGTAAGAGGATGGAAACAAACGACTAGCTAGTACGAGGATGGAAACAAACGACTAGCCAGTAAGAGGATGGAAACAAACGACTAGCTAGTAAGAGGATGGAAACAAAAGACTAGCCAGTAAGAGGATGGAAACAAAAGACTAGCCAGTAAGAGGATGGAAACAAAAGACTTGCTAGTAAGAGGATGGAAACAAAAGACTAGCCAGTAAGAGGATGGAAACAAACGACTTGCTAGTACGAGGATGGAAACAAAAGACTAGCCAGTAAGAGGATGGAAACAAAAGACTAGCCAGTAAGAGGATGGAAACAAAAGACTAGCTAGTACGAGGATGGAAACAAAAGACTTGCCAGTAAGAGGATGGAAACAAAAGACTAGCCAGTAAGAGGATGGAAACAAAAGACTTGCTAGTAAGAGGATGGAAACAAAAGACTAGCCAGTAAGAGGATGGAAACAAACGACTTGCTAGTACGAGGATGGAAACAAAAGACTAACCAGTAAGAGGATGGAAACAAAAGACTGGCCAGTAAGAGGATGGAAACAAAAGACTAGCTAGTACGAGGATGGAAACAAAAGACTTGCCAGTAAGAGGATGGAAACAAAAGACTTGCTAGTAAGAGGATGGAAACAAAAGGTAGTGTTAATTATTGTTTATGTATAATACAGGTAATAACGTGAGGATTAGTTATTACCTTGACGTACTAACGAGCTGATAATTATTTACAATTTTGATATTGCTTTGATGCCAGGGCACAACTATGCAGATGTTGCTCAACACGAGCTTAATGAACAACATGTATAAAAGTTTTATCTTCTAAACCATCAGAATTATTAATCAATATGTTATGGTATTGTATACTTATTATACACATATACCAAAATGTTATCCTACATACACACATATACACATATATAACACAGTAGTCACAACAATAACTATAACAATGCCTGTACAATGATTTGTATGAGAGGAGCAAAACGGTCAGCCTGATACTATATTATATCAGTTAATTCTCGGCTAATAAGCGTATCGTTTTATTTTAGAAATGAACATTGATATATATATTGAATTCGTTTTAATGCAACGGTCAGTGTTGTAAAGCCAGGATAAAAATGTTTTATTAAGCTCACGTCAATGCCATATACAAAGGTTCAATTAAGTTGTGCATGCTTGCATTTAAGTGATCGATTTAAAAGGCTTAAGAACTATTGGACCGTGGGTTCGTTCTTTTTATAACTAGATCGTAACAAGGACATACTAGAGCTAGCACGGAGATCTGGACGACATTTTAAAACTCTCTGACAATCATCCCGTTTACCAACAAACCTTTATAGAGATGGGAATAGTGGATCTACACCTGTTGTTACAAACAATTCTGTATTTCTCGACATGTCTCATTGGGCTAATTACGTGTATTACCTTCGGTGTGTCACGGGTAAGTTTCTCATTCTATCTAATGTTCTATGTAAATGACAAGCAGAAATTAAATACTTACCAAATAACGTCATCTTTTACATAATTTGGTATGAAACATTGGAAATAAGCGGATAAATATGTTTTTTTTTTTTGTATAACAACCAATTATCAGGATCTATTACATCAATTATCACTTGTTTTACATAAGCAATGCCACTAACACAAACGTTTATCAGCTTTCCGGAAAATCATCAAATATCGATTTTATTTTTAGTACACAGATATACCTTTGTTCATATCATAATACTACATGGGTTTTTATTTCATATGATATTTAAATCCCTATACAAATGATATATTTTAATTTGCTTAATGAAAAATTCTTAAGGCTCAATTTATAAATTACTGACAATAAACACGAATGTAGTTAATGCTGACGTCATACATGATAATAAAAGATGGGTTTATTTACAAAATAAATGTACCAAATCAAAAGGAAATCATGTGAAAAAAACATCGATTAAAAAGTTGAAAGTTTAATGTTAGTTGGTATATATTGAAAGTTAATTATCTGTAAACTATACCTGATGCAATACTCGACTTTCTCAAATGCTAATATGCATGTAATTGTTTTGTACTCAGTGAAACAAGGGGAGGTAACTCTGGTATATCAGAATAGCCATTTGATAGAGCAAGGCGAATTCTGTTGTGTAAAATAACGGGACACCTTTAAAGAAAATAGAGATTACACTTATTCTTAAGAGATGCTTTCAAATTAAACATATTAGAATTAAACAAAATTACAGTAAAATTGATATATTTTTGTCGGGTTGATTTTTTGCTAGAAGAGTTTTTTTAATCTTCGCGGACACTTGATTTCATCGATAAATTTCGTCAAATTCATATGTTTCTACTTGTTAAAGAATTCATGGACATGTTAATTTCTGGATTAAGAGTGCCTACGAAATCAATTAGAGTAAATTATCCACGAAGTGAAGTTTTTAAGGTGATATGATAGCATATATTGACCAATTGTGAGGATTTAGGTATAAGTCTCCCAAAATAACAATAACATGTCATGGTCTAATAAATCATGCTTCAATCATACTCTCACAGTAACGAAACGATTTTACCTTTTAATTTTGTACTTGGTTTTTACTGAAGCGACTGCATCTTTGATATCGTAACATTGAAATTTGTTTCATGTTTTAACTCGCCTATGAAGTCTATAATAAGATACTATTGCAGGCCATATTCAGCGGAAATTGTCTGATATACGCATCGTTGGACTGGAATTTGAAGGGAGACCAATTTACGACGAAATACTCTCCGTCTTCTATTTGTGATTTCCCGATATATCTGTTTGTGCTCGGTTGTGTGTTGTATCCGCTCGGAGTTGGAATTTACAATGCATATGCCACTTATAAAACACGCGAAGACGGATCCATCCCGTGAGTATATAGACATTGATATATAACAATATATATTTATGTATATAGATATTTGTATATAACAACATGTATTTATGTATATAGATATTTGTATATAACAACATGTATTTATGTATATAGATATTTGTATATAACAACATTTATTTATGAATATAGATATTTGTATATAACAACATTTATTTATGAATATAGATATTTGTATATAACAACATTTATTTATGAATATATATTTGTATATAACAACATTTATTTATGAATATAGATATTTGTATATAACAACATTTATTTATGAATATAGATATTTATATCTAACTATATGTATATAGATATTTGTATATAACAATATGTTTTTATGTATATAGATATTTGTATATAACAACATGAATTTATATATACAGTTATTTATACATAACAATATGTATGTATGTGTATTACTACATTTTATATTATATTATTATATATTATATGATATTATGATGTAATAAAAACTGTATGTTGTCAGTAATGCCGATACAGAATTGTCTGATCGACTCGGTAGTATAAATATGTCGTATAAAAAGATAATGTTCATGAAGCTTCTTGACTTGATTTCAAACTTAGAACTAAGTTTCCCCAGACATCTGAGGGCAAGTCAGGAACACGTCTGCGTTCTGGATTACTTCCCTTTGTTTTAATGTGTGTTTAAGTCTTTCCTTCATGATGTACTGTTTTATTGTTTGAATGCTATGTTTTATATGTTGTTGTTGTTTACTTTTGCTTGTCCTTTCCTCCTCCATTTTCGATTGTTTTGACGTTTCTCAAATCCAATTTCTACCTTCCCGTCTGTTTTGGTGTTTCCACAGTACCTGTTGTTGTCTCCCCTGCCGTAGTTCTTTTCGTTCCTGTTGCTTTTCGTCTCTTCTTTTTTAATATTATCATTTTCTTATTTTCGTATCGATTTTGAAGGATTTTTTTTAGAACATCCGTACTTTTGTATCTACGACACAGTTTGTCGTTTCATATTAATGAAAAACTATATGCAATTATATATCTTAAAAAGCGAAACGAAATTTCGTAAAGTCAGTGTGTGTGATTTATATCAGATTAATGACACATTGATGTCAGTCTGATGTCTGAGATTGATATCAGATTGGTGTCAGTCCGATGTCTGAGATTAATATCAGATTGATGTGAGTCCGCTGTCTGAGATTGATATCAGATCAATGTCAATCCGATGGCTGATATTGATATCAGATTGGTGTCAGTCCGATGTCTGATATTGATATCAGATTGACGTCAGTCCGATTTCTGAGAATGATATCAGATTTATGTCAGTCCGATGTCTGATATTGATATCCGATTGACGTCAGTCCGATTTCTGAGAATGATATCAGATTGATGTCAGTCCGATGTCTGAGATTGATATCAGATTGATGTCAGTCCGATGTCTGAGATTGATACCAGATTGATGTCAGTCCTATGTCTGAGATTGATATCAGATTGATGTCAGTCCGATGTCTGAGATTGCTACCAGGTTGATGTCAGTCCGATGTCTGAGATTGATATCAGGTTGATGTCAGTCCGATGTCTGATATTGGTATCAGATTGATGTCAGTCCGATGTCTGAGATTGGTATCAGATTGATGTCAGTCCGATGTCTGATGTAAATATCATATTGATGTCAGTCCGATGTCTGATATTGGTATCAGATTGATGTCAGTCCGATGTCTGAGATTGATATCAGATTGATGTCAGTCCGATGTCTGAGATTGGTATCAGATTGATGTCAGTCCGATGTCTGATATAAATATCATATTGATGTCAGTCCGATGTCTGATATTGGTATCAGATTGATGTCAGTCCGATGTCTGAGATTGATATCAGATTGATGTCAGTCCGATGTCTGAGATTGATATCAGATTGATACTACATTTATGTCTTGTCGATATCTGATTAAAAAAGAAATGTTAAACCGATTTCATCGTTTTGAATTTCTTAATACCAACAGAGTCCTATCAGTGTTTATCTTGTTTACACAGATTCCAGATGTGGGTGTGGCCTTTTGTTCTGTTGAATGCCATACTGACATTCTTGGTGCTGGTGTGCTCCTGTATTATCAGTGTTGGTATGTTCAGGGTCTGCTCTGAACTTAGTAAGGGGAATATCTACAAAGGGTATGTATTATATTAAATACAACGCAATACAATAGAATACAAAACAAAACAATACAAAAAATACGATAACAATACAATACAGTAACAATATACAAACTATTATTTATAAACTATTGTTTATTTACATGTACATTATACATTAAAGATACATACGTTAGAGAAAGATATGTAGCCAGTAACAATCTTATTAAACCATGGGTAAACCATGATAGGAATGACTTTCTCTGACAGTAGTCCCTCTTTTTCCACCAGGGGGCGCAGTTGAGTTTTCCAAGGGTTTAACCATTCCTCCTCAATCATGACCAACGACGTCTACTCAATGTGCGCCACCTAGTGGTTCAGAGGGTTTAATTGCCATTGAATTGGACGGAGTTAAATAAAAATGGAATTGGAAATAAAACTCCTTATTATAGCCAGATGAACTGTTTGCTATGATTTTAAAACACGATGTTTAAAATTCTGTTGTGGAGTAGTAAGATGCTTCTGCATGATTTTAACTATAAACCGATAGCATTGCTTTTATTTCCTATTAACAGTTGCGCAGACGCCCAAGACCAAGAATGGACGGATGCAAATGGCGACAACTTCAACACTGGATATTTCTTTAATCTCCTTGAGGTTGCAGAGGTAAGACGAAATACAGGACCATTTCTATATAACTGATAAAATAATACGACAGACTATATTTTTAAAAAAATATATTATTTCTACCACAAAATGGGAGTGTTATTAAACTTCCAAGGCTTCGATTAAACATTAAAGCTGTTATTATATATATTTTTTAAAATCGTTACTATTCCCTATTAGGGCATTTCACTACAGATCATATGATTACGCCCTTTCTGATATTATTAACAAACACATCGGGTTACAGAACAACAATACCACGTTGGAATAGCTCCTTTACGGCGGTACATCCAGGTCACTCAAACGTTTGGTTGTCGTACAGATTTTTATTCCGCTCTCATTATAATAATTTTTCAAACGTTACGAAAAAAAATCAAATATTTGCGAAACCTCGCGTTTTCGGTAATTTGTGAAAAATAACGAAGTCGAGTAAAAGAAATGCGATATAAAACAAGCACCTGTTGTGTAACCAATGTATCTCTTTGACAACAACAGATATTTAATGAAACAAGTTCCTCTACGTTTTTTAAATTTTCTTCACGCTTGAACACCTCCGTCGTAAGGACATCTTTAATGTATAGAGTCGTCACTTTAGGTCAGTCAATGACATCTATTTTCATTATTCTCCAGGTTGCCTGTTGGATTTGTACGTTAGTTTGGCTTGTTCAAGTAGTATTGGGAGTCATACGAATCTACAGAAACAGACGAATGCGATCAAGTCTCGAGAAAGATGAAAACTACGACAAAACCAAGATAGCCAAAAGAGAATCCAAGCATTCAAAGCATTAACGTTTTTATCACAATGTCCCTACAAGCTAACGCAACGGCCACGTTTCTATCTGGTCATGAATCACTTCAATAAAGCACCAGTTTGTCCTGACTTCCGCTCAAAGCGGAACTCGTTCTACTTCATACAATCTGTCTATATGACATATCCTTGCTTATTTTTAAAAGATCATTTCCATTGTCTTGCCCTCGTTTTATCAATTTTGAGGTTTATCATTTCCTCGGAATTACCGTGTTCTTGTTGGAAATGATAAATCATGTCGTACATTTCTTCACAGGATCACTATATAGCCATTGTCATCACACCGATTACATAAACAATGTTAGGAAATGTTTTACCGACGGTACGCGCTCGTGAATGGTTTCAACAGCATGTGTCATTTCCAGCTGTATGCCGTCAGCTAATGTGATGTTTAGTAACATTGTAGAAATCTTATATTTAATGTCAGCCGTAGAAAACTCTCGCAATGTAACAAACTTTACATTCACTTCCATGTCATAAACGATTGAACCTTGCTATATAATTTTTAATTTCGGCTAGACTATTGACTCGTTTTGAAAATTTATGTCTGTTCAAACCATTCAATTAACATATCATTCTGGTAGCGTTGGTATATTGATTTGATTATTGAAAATTTTATATGTAAAATATTCACAAAAATTTCTAATCTTTTCCATATGAATATTAAAGTGACCCCCTTTTGTAGTGATTATCTCCATGACAAAAACTGCTCTTGTTTTGTATATTTTTATTTTTTATTTTCTTAATTTTTTTGTTTGTTTTTGTTTTGTTTTTTGCCCAAGATTTTTTCAAAATGGTATTATCATTTCTCTTCAGAGATATAACTACAAATGAAATAAACTGAACTATTTTACTATTCTTTATTTGAATTAACCAACAGTAATTCTATAGCATTTAGTATTTTGTATTTGAGTTAGCTGGTGTCAGTAGTAGATTTCCTCGGCAAGGTAATACTTCACTACCTAATGACAAGTAAAAACTTATTGAAAAGGAGGTAGAATCGAATCAGTAATTACACGTGACTTTTTGTTTAACAGTTGCTGATAGTTACAGATATGTGATCGCTTATGTGGAACTCTTTATGTTTTAATCACGAATCAATTAAAGTCTTATGGTTATGTTACGGAGAGTAGAATAAATAAATAAATCTATGAATAGATAAATAAAATATTGATATAAATAGATCAGATTGATAAATAAATACGTGTATAAAGAGAAATCAAACTTTGATAGCTATGTGTTTACATTCCACTTGTTATTTGATTAAGCTTAAATATCAACACCACCAGTGGCATGGCTATGTTGGTTTTTTATGTTCGTAATCATATATTTGTACATAATTACATAATGACAGTGACATTGCTGTTCTCGCGATATCGCCGTAGCTTACATATAATTGCATTATGTTAATTCAATTATGTTTTCACTTATATCGTCATCGGTTTATGTCCCTGTCACCATTTGTTATTTAAAGTCCCAAATCTCATTAGCTTTTTGAAAGCGTTGTTTAAATGCATAAGTCCTGAAGGCGAGGTGTGATGTCTTTTTGTTTTATTATATATGAATTAATTATTCTCTACCAACTAAAAGTACACAAAACTTTGCTTGTTCATTTGTTCATTAATTTTTGTCAATAAAATTGATCATAAAACAATTATTTGCGTTAGCGTATGAATCTGCATATAATTTCAGACCATATATCATATGTAAACAATAAGTTGGTTTCCAAAAACAAAATCCTTAAGAGATTGAAAATCTTAGGTGGCACGTTATTGAGCACTGAACAGTAAACATACACAACAACACTGGTATCGGTTTGATTCGTGTTTGGAAGGGGAAACGAAAAACATAGTAGCAGAATGTGCGCCAAGCATTGCTTGGCCTATAATCCTGAAAACTCGATAGACGAATGTCTTGGTGACTATGCATTAAAATCCTAAAATTACTCAACCGTGAAATGTATTGGGACAAAAATTGATAAAACACAAAACCACATGCAGAATAATTATGACAAGTTTGTCAACACATCTTGTTTAATCAAACTCTTACCTGGTTTTCTGTCAGTTTGAATTTCTTGCAATCATGGCACGGCTGACGAAAGTTCAGAGGGGTCAAGATATTGCATTGCTAATGTAAGGTCAAGGCAACAAGTTCAGTGTAAATGTTTCCACCTTGGAAAATACCAACATGTCAACATAATCATACTGCAAACTCAAATTAAAGATTTACATGGAGACACCTATAGATGTACAAGGAGAATAAGACCTGGGCCCGTATTCATGAAACCATTCTCATGCTCAAGCATAGATTTTGCGCTCAAGCAAACTTTTTTTTATAAAATAATACAAATGTCAAATATAATCATTGATTATAACTTTGACTTGAAGTCATTTCAAATTTTTTTTTTTTAAATCTTTGGAAAAATCAGCCTTATTTATTAATTCTTAACTTAAACAAGACATAAGGCTTGAACAAAACATTCATGCTTGAGCATAAGAACGGCTTCATGAATACGGGTCCAGGTGTTCCGGAAGAGTAAGCGTCTTCTGCTTCATCGACGTCACCCATGATGTAAACTTTGGCAAATCTTAGTAAGAAATGTCATGTTCTCAAATGAGAACAAGGTATACAACAACGGAATCAACATGCAAACTAACAAGCATCAAACATGTCCAGCTTCATATCGCAAAAGGAAAGAGGAACTTGTAGGGTTTCCGACCAACCGCGACGAGGACGTTCGCGTGCAACGAAATCTCGTCAAGACAGTGTTCTTCACCTTTCCCATGTGTGTAATATGCTACGTAATTACTACGGTAGGCAATCACAATCACTACATTTATTCCAAAAACTATTAAAATCCAGATGAACAAGTTTGAATTGTGAGCTCATCAACCGGACGCAAGTTGTCCTATCATTCGTGCACACGCGTCTTCGGTTGGCGACACATGGCCCAGACAACCTCCAATTAGGCAATGGAGACAGGTCTTTTCTGAAACGAGTGCCGGTTCAGTCCATATATCTTAATATCTCACCGGGTATTCTCGTTACTCCATGGGCTACAATCACTTTCATTCTCTACACCGCTGGAAAATGGCAAAATTGAAGGTTCTATGTGAGACACATTGTAGACGAGACGAAAAGACTAGATTGAATCTTTGATCAAACGAAACTCGGGTCAAATTTTGAAGGACCCCAACGGAAATAAGCGTATATTGTTACGCGTTTTGGGCTATCCTTGGATAGATTTGTTTAACATATATATCAGCTGTCTTTATTGTGATTTTATGTTCCGGTGTTGCATGTTTTATTTATGTCACTTTTTCACCTTATGTACTATGTAACATGTATTTTATTTATCATGCTTTGTATACATTTGTGCAAATCTTTCCTGAATAAATTTATTATTATCATTTATTATTATTATTATTATTATTATAAATAACAGTATATTGTAATGGCTTGGAAGTTGGTTGTCGCTCCTTTGAAACCTCAAAAAGATCACATCAGCTTTTTTATCCTAGAACCAATCAAATTACTTCGCCTGTGCCTTCAATTTCGTCATGACATGTTCCAGGGGTGCAGAGAGCGTAGTTGATTGTAACTCCTGGAATCTCGAGGATGCTCACCGGGTAAAGTCACCGTTGATTTTGGTAGCTGAGAATTTAACCGACGTTAGATATAGGAATAAAAAAAAAGACTCTATTCAGTTGCATTTTCTTTCATGCAGAAAACAGCATCACCTAACTTGCCAGCATAACAACGCTCGGTCCTGTTTAGCCAGAGTTTGTCAAGACTATACCACAAACTATGACATTATCCCATGCGACTGGCCTCCGTACAGTCTACATTTGAACGAAGGGGGCGTCGGAATGCCCATACCTCACGACCAACTATGGATTGCCTTGTTGGAAAATTTGAAGTACATTTAATCTCTTAAAAACAAGAAAGAAAAAGCAAATTTCGATAAAACAAGAGCAAAATATAAACAATGGAAAGATTTAGACGAAGACTCATGAAACAGTTCTAGGGGAATGCGACCAGGTGCTCCAGAAGAATGAGTGTCTTCTGCTTCATCGACGACACCCGCCATAATAATGTTGGTCAATCCAAGCAAGCACTATCACGTTTCCAAATAAGAGCAAGGTAAACAACCAACAAGAAAACCAATGTTATACTAACGAGCATCAAACATGTCCAGCTTTATATAGCATAAGGAAATAGAAGAATACTCCTATTATGTAGAATAGGCCCAGAGGAAATGATAATAGAGGTGTTATATTGATATTCTCAAATGTAAAGAAAAGCGAACAACAAACCAGTGATAACGGAGACATTACTGTAAGGCTTTGAGACAAAAGCTGATAAATGTAATCCAGAAGGTATTATTAAAGAAATAAAAAACGTAAAAAAATATTAACTTTTGATTCTGATATTCGATTAATCGGTGAATGAAACGATAAGAAAATATGAAATTTGATGTGTTTGGTGCCCGTAAGTTTGCCTGTAGGTTCCGTTGTTGTAAACCTTGTTCTCATTTGAGAACGCGACATTACTTACTTGGATTGACCGAGGTTTGCATGACAGGTGTTGATATGATGCAGAAGACACAAACTCTTCTGGAACACCTGGTCTCATTGTCCTTGTACTTTTTCTGGAGTCTCTGTGTTTTATTGAATTTGAGATTGCATTATGATTATGTTGACATTTTTAATGAAAACGGAATGAAACTGATTGATCAAGGAGTGGCTTCCATAACAAAAGATTCGCAAATCAGTTAGCATCTGTTAGTACGGTAAGGGCAGGTTACATTTCATTTCAGAATAATTCATTTCAAGATTTTAATGACAAATAAAACAACTTATTGTTCCGCACAGTTTCTATTTTACACTAATTCTGGCTTTGTGTCTTAGATACGAGCTCACTGGAGATCAACTGTATTCATTATAGCAAAATGATTTCAGAATATCTTGGCAGCTGGAAA